GCATCAGAGAGAAATGAGAGGTCGCTGGCTGTGTCTGCCAAACGCTTTATTGCCTGTCAACTCCAGGTGGTATTCCTGCACCAGCCACTTGCAGACATTCTGAATTCTGCATCTCAGAGTTCCTCAAGGGTATCTATCTTAAGTGTGCTTATTTTGTTATCCAAAGACCTGTGGTATATGTATAATTTTTTAAGTAACTCCCAAAGCATTATTTCAAAACTATAAGGCTACTTTTCACATAATCTCTTGGTGGCCACCCTTTATACATTTGAATTAATCTTTACCACAGGATTAATCAACTGTCAAATTCTTCCTGCTTCTTAATAAAGCCATGAAAATAATAATCAAGTTGTATTTCCTCAAACTGTTGATTTCATTTCTACCACATAGTAAGGAATCTGACCAAAATGATCTCTGATGTAAAACTCCCCGAAAGAAAATTGTTTTAGCACCTCAGAGAGTCCTGCAACTGAATTCAGTAAAATATTTCTTACATTTATAGGGACTTTAAAATTGTCCACTATTACTTTTCTTAAAGAATGTCTTTGTTTTCCTGTGTTCTCCTAGCATCTTACGTCTACATTAATGACTCTGATTACAATTTCAGTTACTCTTGTATTATTTCCTGGCTAGAAGCAGCTTCCACATGATAACTTTTACAGTTTTGTTTTTAAAACTTTTTTTGTGCTTTTACAGATGTTTGCAGAACTGTTCTGCTTCTTATGTCACTACAAATAGGTTAGGCCGTTAGGGTGTTCATGTGTAGGGATAGAAGGCCATTTCTCCATTGTGATTCCCCAAGGTGCTATCTTACTGCACACTTCCTATAGGAGCTAGAACTTGACCTCTGCAATTCTCTCCTGCTCTAGTATAGCTTCTAAAAACTGGGTAAGAAACTACGATTTCATTTGAGTATTTCTCTACCCATCTCTAAATTTTGTAAGACATGGTTGCTGCAATGATTCTCCCATGCCCACGTTGATAGCCCTTCATATACTGACTCTAAAATATCTTGATCAGAGAAGGGTCTACCAGGCGAATTACATGGTCTTAGTGGTTTTGTAACCACTGCCTATCTACCACTTTGGTTACTGTTAGTCTTTTTTCCTCCCTCTTTATCTGTCACCTTATCCACAAAATGAAGATAATACATATTTTCTAACCCCCTGGTCTCATGCAGTATTTGATTACCAAGTGTTAAGAGAGCACCCTTTATGTGGACTCAATAAATTATTATTCATCAAGTACCTATGATGTTATTGAACTAAGTCCGAGGGAGAGTTTGTGATGTTGCCATTGTTACAGAAATTGAATTTAGGATTGAGAGGACTCAAAACTTAAATACTTACATTTTCTTCATTATGTTCTTTCTCAGTTATACCCATGAAGAATCATTTAATGTCTACAGAACAGTTCTTATACTTAAGGGGAAGACCTGCTCACTCTATTGCCATTAGAAATATACTGTTTCATGGAAAGGCAACTGAAAAATGCATCCCTCCCTCTAAGAATAATAGACTGAAATTGAAAATACAAAAAAACCAACGTAGTCGAATAGTAAACTTCTTGTAAATACTAGTCATGATAATGTACATCTAACTTTTAAAATTTGCACAAACGCAATTATAAATATCTTTCCAACTCTAGTATCCTCAAACTCATGGAATGCCTTAACCTCTTTCTACTTTCCATAGTTTCTTTCTACTTTCCATAGTTTCTTCCCTTTCAGCTCCTGAAAATTACCTCACAGTCACTTTGAAGGCATAAATGAGAAAACATAGTTGATAGTACTTTTAAAAACTAGAAAACCTAGGCGTGGAAGTTACAGACAATTTGGACAATGGTCAGGAGTCATAACCTCTAAAGTCAGGCTTCCTGGAGACAAATCTAGTAACACTTGTTACCAACTGCATAACACTGGCAAGCTATTCATCTCTGTGCCTCAGCTGCTTCATCTGTAAAACTAGATATCAGGATCTTCTTATAAGGATTGAGTTGACTTTAAAGCACTTATTATAATAACAACAGTAGTAGTAATTAGCTACCCTTTTTTCTCCAAATTATAAGGATATATGATACCAAGAATTAGCCAATCAACTGCAACCTTATCATGCAACGTGACCAAGATGCAAGTTTATTATATGACCTTCATATTTATGGTTCAAGACAGGGCATTCATACTGGATGGCTATTGCTGTGTTGGATTGTTGTCATTTTTTAAATTTGACAATCTAAGGGAAAAGAGGTCAGTGCCCCTGACTAAATTTGATATCTGGGACCAGGCCTTCCTGCATCAGGATGGTTCACTCAGACTTACCTGTCCCAGCCAAAGTGCTCCAAAGCATTTGCCTCCCTTCATTCCCCAAACACCTCATTCCCCCAAGTGGCCATCACTAAGTGCTGACACAAAATGGACCTTGCTTTATTAATACTACAATATAAATGACGGATGCCTCTAGCAGCGCTGTGAGCTATTGTCTAATGTTTACTAACTTAAGCAAATATTTGATCGGTAGTATTTCAGGGTATATGAGTTAAGATGTATATTTCAAGTCTCTTATAGTAAAAGATGTATAATATTAAGCAAGATGTACAATATTAAACAAGTTTAGATTTATAACCCCAAATGCAAGTAACAAACTTATACCCTTCAATTAAAAGTACACTTTCCTGCCCTTTGTGAACCTCCAGGTCATGTGACCAGGAGTCAGGTTAACAACTTGAAAATCTTTAGACTGATCATTCGGAGTCTTCTGAGCAATTAGGGCAAACGCGGGTTTTGTTTCTATGGGAATAAAATACTAGAGCTCACTCCACTCTCAGCTCTTTGAACTGCCAGACAAAAAGCAAACCAGATGAGATCCATAGAGAAGACCCCGAAATAAGACTTTCCTTCCGTAATAAAATGATGCCTCAGAGACAGAAATGTGCCTTGTGCTCACATTTGAAAGCTGGACTGCTCAGCTTGTCTTAAGGGCATAGAAAGTTTAGTGGATGGAGTTAATAATATTTTTATGTGCATATCTTCTTGGTGTTGACTTTTAGAAGGCATTTGAGGTGCTTAATCTGAACACTTCCCTGTATCTGTAAAGAGGAGTAACCGTGGCTCATGGGTCATGGTAAGGAGGCAATGAGATAATACATGTAAAGGGCTTAGCACAAGCCTAGCATCCAGCAAACGCTCAATAAAAGTTCATCTAATGAGGCTTTCTCTAAAAATGATGTCCTGTTTTTCTTAAAATATGGTAGGCAAAAGTTTAGTAATCTTAAATTCAAGAGGATCAGTTGCTCTTTTTTTTTTTTTAACCATAGAAAGAATAGTATTGTTCCTTCTCTCCACATGGTGGCGCTAATATAGCATTACCAGGGAGCAGTATCTCCAAACCTTTGGGAAAAAAATCTGTGCAGCTAATGGTGATATCAATCTGTAAATGACCATTTAATGGCCATTTGGAACACATGCAGAACACCAATCTAGTGTGCTTTTAAAAAATAGATGAATCACAAATTTAAAAATGAAATGAAATAACATAAACAAAATGGCAAACAGCTTCAAATCAATAAGGAACATTATCACATGCCGGTTTTTCACTAAGATATCTATATCCCTAGCTCATGCCATAGATTAAGACCCACATCTAACTGGTTGCTTTTCTACTATTTATTTCCCAAAAAAACTAGAAGATTCAAGTTTCCAGTCAGAATTTTTCAGAAACAAAAGCAAGTGCATTTGATAATTCTCCCAAATGGTTCTAGATATTTGGCTCACATGTGGATCAGAAATTATGGAGAAATTTTTCACTAAAGTAGGAAATGAAGCCTCATACTTTTAATGATCTTTTGGATGCTAAATGAATAAGCTAGTACAGTCAAGAAGCAATTTTCAACCTTTCTCATCTCATGGCACATGTAGACTAATTACTAAAATTCTGTGGCACACCAAAAAAATATATTTTTTGCTGATCTGACAAAAATAGGTATAATTTTTACTAATTGACCAAAAAAAGATAGTAATTATCTACC